GCATTAAAGCGCGGGAACACACTTCGACAAACTCCGACACTCTTCGACACACTTCGACACACTTCGACAAACTCCGGCACACTTCGACAAACTCCGACACACTTCGACAAACTCCGACACACTTCGACAAACTCCGACACTCTTCGACAAGCTCCGACACACACTTCGACAAACTCCGACACACTTCGACAAACTCCGACACTCTTCGACAAGCTCCGACACACTTCGACAAACTCCGACACTCTTTGACAAACTCCGACACACTTCGACAAACTCCGACACTCTTCGACAAGCTCCGACACACTTCGACAAACTCCGACACAGACTCTCGGCGCACGCTGCATCATTCGGTGTCTATACCTATATGACCCAGACAGTATAGTCTACGACAGATCAGTGCACACGCGTGCATTAACGTTAACGCGTGTTATTATGCCCCATTCGCTAATACGTACAGACCTATTTATTCCGAGGTAAGTTCTGTCCATACTTATATTTACAATGCACGATAGATTAATTAGGCTAAAACGTTTATAAGTAACATAATGTGTTTTACCGTGTAGTCTGATGCCGTAATAAAGAATTTATGACGCAAGTAGATTGTATCGAGATATATATTTGGCGAATTCCTTGATGCAATTCCGATACCACTTGATGTATATTTTTGAGCTCGGTTAATATATCACCATAAAAAAGGAATCGAGGCGGGCATATTGCAATTTCTTTGATGCAATTCTAATAACATTTGATTCATATATTCTATTGACACCATTTACCGGTTGGTTGCACATGACCATCACATAAAAGGAATAGCAAAGTGCAATACGTTGGAACAACATACGCTTACCCGCGAGTAAAATGCGCAGAAATGGTTTCTTCGCATCGTTGCTAACCGCCACTCGGCCGACGTAAACAAACCTAAATGCGTCTACCCCCTAGCCCGCCATCGTCGCTAAAGCCTATCGCAGGCTTGCGACTTTTTCATGCAACTCGGCTGCGATTCTAGAATCGCAGTCGAATTGCTGCGAAATCGCCATGTCTGCGGGAACGTGCAACTGCAACTCGAGTTGCAAGAAATCGAACTGATTTGATTTTCAGCAACTCGTCGCTCCCAATCGCTCCGAAATCGCTTCGAAATCGCATGTGTGCGGGTAGACAGCGACTTGCATGCGCACACGCGGTGAAGCGTGCGACCGATCGCATGCGGTTGCAGGTTGCAACGACGAGCAACCAAAAGTCGCAATTCTGCGCTAGGCTTACCCCCCCCCCCCTATGTTACATTCCCGACTATGTCCATATCGGGAAGAATTATCGAGAGAGAGGGGGCGAGCGCGCAAATAAGAGAAAAATATAAAAGGCTAGATCGAGGGAAGGAGAGAAGGCAAAAGAGAAAAAGACAAAGCGAGAAATACAGTGTATCTGAAAAGGAAAAGTCAGAGAAAGAGAGACAAAGACAGAGACAGAGAGACACACACGCAGCGAGAGAGAGAGAGAGAGAGAGAGAGAGAGGGTGTGAGAGAGAAAAGAAAGAGAAAGAGAAACAGAGGAGGGAGGAGGGAGGAGGGAGGAGAGAGGAGAGATTTCCAAACTGCTCAGCCCGTCGCTTAGTTTACTTGATCTTGTTTAGCTTTAATGCCTTCTCCGCCTATACGCTCTAATCATGTTAGCGCATGCTCAGCGCTTCGGATGGATTCTTGCAAACAGATAGGAGAGGCTGCTGCCTGTGTAAGAACAAACGTGAAGGAGAAAGTCCGAGAGAAAGCGTGTGCGAGAGAGGGAGAGAGAACGCGTGTGCGAGAGAGGGAGGGGGAAACAGAGGGAGAGCGAGCGAGAGAGACAGGGAGAGAGAGAGAGGGAGAGGGAATGAAGCTGAGAGAGAGAGAGAGAGAGAGAGAGAGAGAGAGCGCGCGCGCGGAAATGCGGCTACATATATATTTTTTCTCGTGCGCGGGCCACGTAATGCTATCCGTTTTCGTTTCTCCTCCGCCCTTTTCCAAACTTTCGCCGTCGTGCGCGGCCACTGCCGCGCATTTATGTACGTTGCGCAAGAAACTTTTCTCAACGCCTCTCTACTCAGCTCACGGTCAGCTCACCTCACGACACTCCCTCACTCACTCACTCACTCACTCACTCACTCACTCACTCACTCACTCACTCACTCACTCACTCACTCACTCACTCACTCACTCACTCACACACTCACTCACTCACTGAAACACTCAATCACTCACTCACTCACTCACTCACTCACTCACTCACTCACTCACTCCTCACTCACTCACTCGCTCACTCACTCACTCACTCACTCACTCACTCACTCACTCACTCACTCACTCACCGACTCTCGGCGACTGTCTGCCTGCCTCGGCGCGCTTTTCATAGATAGTTTATCAGGCCAGAGAAAGAAGCATTTACCTAAATTACATCAGGCGGGATTAGTAATAGACGCCTAATAGGCAGTATGCCTTTTACGTCAATTACGTATGTGCAACAAAAGCATGCGCCGTTCCTCAGCGCCATCTTCGCCGCGTCGTCTATTATGCGCCGAGTTTGCCGTACAAGGTAAAAGAAAATTAAGCGAGCCAAAACAAAGGCCCGCAGACAATCGCATTGTCGCGAGGACATCTGCTGCGTCGCTATAGGCAGCGGCCGTGCAGCCAGCGGTCAGGTAAGAATACGTACGTGCTGTGTCTACTCCCCCTCCTCACGCTCCGTTCAAGGAAGTGGTGGGGAGAGAAAGAGGAAGTAGCGCGGACGTTGGCGCTGATTAGCGAATATTTTCTGGTCACTCCGCAGCGCCACTGTTTCCGTGGCGGCCGCCGCTGTCAATATATATAAATCCCCATCGCGGCCCACCGTTCGTACGTGTTTCGTTTAACGGCTATGATAACACATAAAGTTAATTATTCGACATAAAGGTACATACATTAATTTCAATTAATTCGTGTAAATTATGTGAGGTTACGCAGACAAAATGTCGAAACCGGGGAATAGAAGACTGAATTGTCATTTCGCCTTCCATCACTTATATATATTTAGTTTGATTATTTTTGACATTTATCCCCTTAATTAATTATTTGTTTAACTAATATAGTGTTTTTCAAAATCTAATTTCCATAAGTGTAAATAAAGTGTAGTTGAATTGAATTGGATTGAGTTGAATTAAATTTAATTGGAGGATGGCTGTTATTTTGTGGTACACGGGATTATCTCGGCAAATTTATCAATCAAAAATAGAACCCGTGCATGTCGACTAAACACATACCACATCATTATTAGCTATTATGTGAAATAAGTTTTTGTATATTGACTAGTGATATACGTGTGTAACAGCGTGTCCTGTTAACGCGATAATGAAAATGGCAAGTTGCGGCTATGTAGAAAAACTACGAGGCCATTTTGTACGGCGAACTGGCTACTCGATATAACAAGCACTCGTCCACACAACGGAATCAAACCTCCGTACATCGCATCGACGTAACTACTCAAAGAGTAGCGCAGGTGCCGGACATCACCTGCATCGTCAGAGGAACCTCGATGACCGCTGGTCAGTGGAGCGCGCGCCTGCGTCTCCCGGACACACGCTGTCGGTTCCCGCACTGACACGCCCCCGCCCGTAACCTTACGTGAGCGCCACTGCCAACGACTGCAACTCGACTTTGCATAATCACTTTGACAAAGCGCATTATGCGTTTAAACGCGTTCGCGCCAAAATGCAAATACAATGTGATGGGCCACGCGGCACCGGCCGACACTGTCCGTCTCTGGTGCGCTCCAATCTGAATATGAAATCACCCAAATTACCCCATTGCGCACAATCATCATTACAGCGAGCTGTCAGCCCTGAAAGGCCTGCTTTGAAAAATTCCCTTTCCATTTTATTTCGTGCGGGTAATTAAATTTGGGCCTGATTGAAATGAAAATTGCAGCATTCATACATTGTAATTTCATGCACAAAGCCATTATCACTGTCAGGGCTGGCTCTCGCATTCTCGCATACCAGCGTCCTAAAGTGAAACATGATTCGCAGAGACAACGGCCGACCAAGGCGATTATCCCTGCCGACGGATTACTGCAACCGTTTATCACCGCCGTGCTACGTAACCTTCGGCTAACCGAGGAGACGCAAAACACCGGGGGGAAGGAAACGAACGCACCTGACTCAGACCAAGAAGGATTCTCTTTCGGTAGGCATGCACAAGAAATCGCCGCATCATGCTGTTTACTGCTACTAATGTTACCAGCGTTGATCCTGCAGTGTCCAATGAAGAGATACGGCTTTACAACTCAATCACGCCGCTATATATATATATATACATTAGGTATATTGGGGCATGCGGACATTGGAGCTACGCTATATTGCAATTCTTATGTACACCGCTAGGCTATACCAATCCACAATATAGAGACGATGAAAATCGTCGCAGTGCTGATACACTAGGTGCCGTACTATCGATGTGATTTCGGAGACACGCATGCGCAACGATGCATGATTGTTCCCAGAACAATACGACTCAAGAACAATTACACATGAACCAGTGAAACGCGCGGCAACGCGAATGCACAATTATGGCCGGGCTGGGAATGCAATTATACAATTAGACGACGATAGACGGAGACATCTGCACGCAAGACGCAAATAGGAGTTGCTTTAACGAAGATCGACATACAAGGGGGAGCGCTTAAATTGATGGAAGCATTGAGACAAAAAAAGCAAAGAATCCCACCCCCCCACACACACAGACGCACACAAAGATACAGACAGACAGGCAGACCACACACACACACACACACACACACACACACACACACACACACACACACACACACACACACACACACACACACACACACACACACACACACACACACACACACACACACGCGCGCGCGCGCGCGCGACGAGAGAAGAGAGAGACAGAGAGGAGAGGAGAGAGAGAGAGAGAGAGAGAGAGAGAGAGAGAGAGAGAGAAGAACGTAACGAGTATAGTATATAGTAG